ACATCACACTTATTCAACATTCATTATAAGCAAAAAACGGGGCTTATTCGGGAGGATCGTCGCTCCACAGTGCATGTTAGACAAGAATCAAAGCACAAACTTAAATGAAACTAGATAATTACGAAGAAAAAAACGAATAATACAAATCTAAAACGTAAAATAAATATTATGTTACGTTCAGCAGATCTTTTTTAATAATGACATAGCGAGATATTTTGCGCACTAATACGGGAAACAATGAAATATACCGTTCCTTCATCAGTATATACAGATCCTGCGGATCAATTACACAAGACAACTGTATGACACTACTTGGAAGGTGCTACACGGTTCGACAATGGGAAATACAAACAGTCGTACTAACTTTCGGAAGGTGGTCATTGAGCTGACATCATCCAAAGGAGTAAATATTTGTATTTGTCTAATAACTGACATTTTTGCTTCGACTGGTAATGGTAGTAAATACGATTATAGTTTCTGTGGTCATCAGATTGTACCGTTTGCATTCACAGCTGATGTCGTTGCACTGTTAGCTTTTCGTAAGTTTTGATGTAAAATGTCAATTATTGCATCATAAAAGGAGAAATTTTTCTTGGAACGCAGTTGTGTATGTTTTTTCTTTGCTCGTTCACATTGCATACCGTCCTCAGTCGATTCTGTTGTACCAGTCACCCTGGTGAAACGTTCTCGGGCAGTTAAATGCATCGAATGTTAATACTTGCGAAGATTTATTTCGATTCTCTGTCTTATTTTTTGGCAGAAGTGATTTCGATTAAATGCTTCTGTGACTGAAGTAATGGGTAAATGTTTGTCTGTATTACTGCTGTCGATGTTTCATTCAAACAACAATGGGTTCAATCACTAACACCGATTCGCTTGGTTATTAAAGTAAGTTGACTAACATTGATCCATGTCTATAAATTACGTTTTGAGTAGCTCACTCGTATTCAGCCGTTTTACGTAACGATTTTTTTTAAACAGTGCACTTAATCTCTAGTAGCGTTGACGGTGCCTGTGTTCCAATCATTTCTTACATTGTTTTCAACGAAGGTTTCTTACTTCGTGCTGTTTCTTACTGTTTTTGTACATTTAAATTT